AGATTATTTTGTGTACTTAGGTATATGTTTAAAAGTTTTGTATAATAAAAAAATTCAAAATTCACTGAAAGAAAAAGTTTCCCCTCTCTTTTTAGCATTCTACCAATTACAAAAAAAGCCAAGTTTTAAAACAAAGTAGAATTATTATATTGAATGCTTATTTTTTAAAGCAACTGTCGGAAATCACAGAACTTATTTAGGTGACTCACTTTAATATGATCGTATTTCACTAATGAATTGTGAAAAACAAAGTGTATACAGACATCATTATTAAATTATAAAATAATTTTATATATGCTTTTATGGTAACCATCATTATATTCTCTATCACCATGAGTTCAATTGTTTTAACTTTTACCTCCCACAAATGAGTGAGAATATGTGAAGTTTATCTCTTTGTGCCTGGCTTAATTTTCTAAACGTAATATCCTCCAGTTCCATCCATGTTTTTGCTAATGACAGGATTTCTTCTATGTATGAAGCCAAATTATATTCTGATGTGTATATGTGTTCATATATATGTGATATATATGTAATACACACATATACAAATTTGCATATATATATATATATATATCACAGTTTTAAAATTCATTTATTCATCAATAAATATTTAGGTTGATTACATATCTTGGCTGTTGAGAATAATGCTACAATAAACATTAAAGTCCAAATATCTCTTAGATATACTAATTTTATATGCCTTAAGTATATGTCCAGTAGTGGAGGGGATGGAATATATAGTAGTTATCTTTTTAATTTCTTGAGAAACCTCCAACACTTTCTATAGTGGCTGTTCCAATTTACATTTCCACCAACAGTGCAAAAGGATTCCCCATTTTCCACATTTGAACAAATGCTTATTTCCTTTTTAAATAGTAGTCGCCCTAAAATGTGTGGTGTCATATCTACTGAGGATTTAGTTTACATTTTTCTGATAGTTAATAATATTATTCATCTTTTCATATACCTATTGGCCATTTCTATGTTTTATTTGGAGAAATGTCCATTCAGGTTCTTTGCCCATTTGTTTGACTTTTGAGTTCAGTGATACAAGTGTAGGTTTACTACATAAGTAAACTTGTGTCATAGGTGTTTGTTGTACAGATTATTTCATCTCCCAGCTATTAAATCTAGTATCCATTAGGTTTTTTTCTTTGCTCATTTTTAATGTGTTAATTCACTTTGATATTCAGTTGTAAGGGTTCTTGTATATTTTCGACATTAATTTTTTTTAGATGTATAAATTGCAAGTGTTTTCTCCTGTTCTTTAAGATGCCTTTTGATTTTGCTGATTGTTTGCTTTGCTATGCTGGACCATTTTAATTGATACAATCCTTCTTATTTATTTTTTGCTTTTCTTGCCTGAGCTTGTGGTGCCATCTTCAAAAAATTTTAAAAAGTCAAGAGCAATCTCAAGTATTTTTTCCTGTTTTTTTTATTTTATTTTATTTTTTGCTAGGTGTTTTATGGTTTCAGGTTTTATCTTTAAGTCTTCAGTTCAATTGCAGTTGATTTTTTGTGAAACTAAGGGTGCAATTTTATTCTGTTAAAACTACTTTTATTTTTCTCTGTCTTCTCTAGTTCTTTTAATTGTGATATTAGGGTTTTGATTTTAGATCTCTCTTGCTTTCTCTTGTGGGCATTTATTACTATAAATTTCCCTCTCAACATTGGTTTAAATGTGTCCCAGAGATTCTGGTACATTGCGTCTTTATTCTCATTGTTTTCAAAGAACTTATTTATTTCTACCTTAATTTCGTTATTTATCCAGTAGTCATTAAGGAGCAGGTTGTTCAGCTTCTATGTAGTTGTGCAGTTTTGAGTGAGTTTCTTAATTCTGAGTTCTAATTTGATTGTACTGTTTGGTCTGAGAGACTGTTTGTTATGAGTTCTGTTCTTTTGCATTGCTGAGGAGTGTTTTACTTCCAATTATATGGTTAATTTTAGAATAAGTGCAATGTGGTACTGAGAAGAATGTATATTCTGTTGATTTAGTGTAAAGAGTTTTGTAGATGTCTATTAAGTCTGCTTTTCTAGAGCTGAATTCAAGTCCTGAATATCCTCATTAATTTTCTGTCTCCTCGATCTGTCTAATATTGACAATGGGCTGTTAAAGTCTCCAACTATTATTATATGGGAGTCTAAGTCTCTTTATAGGTCTCTAAGAACTTGCTTTATGAATATGGATGCTCTTGTATTGGGTGCATATTATATTTAGCATAGTTAGCTTTTCTTATTGCATTGATCCCTTTACCATTATGTAATGCCCTTCTTTGTCTCTTTTGATCTTTGTTGGTTTAATGTCTGTTTTTTTTTTTTTTTTTTGTCTTCTTCTCCCCCTCAGTCTAAATTTTATTTTTTATTTTATTTTTATTTTTTTAATTTTTTTATTGTACTTTAGGCTCTGGAGTAAATGTGCAGATCATGCAGCATTGTTGTATAGGTACATATATGGCAAAATTGTTTGCTTCCTCCCTCCCCCTGTCACCTATATCTGGCATTTCTCCCCATGTTATCTCTCCTCAACCTCACCCCCCACCATGGTCCTTCCCCTAAGCCCCCCAACAGACCCCAGTGTGTGATGCTCCCCTCCCTGTGTCCATGTGTTCTCATTGTTCAACACCTGCCTATGAGTGAGAACATGCGATATTTAATTTTCTGTTCTTGTGTCAGTTTGCTGAGAATGATGGTTTCCAGATTCATCCATGTTCCTACAACGCAAACAAACTCATCATTTTTTATGGCTGCATAGTATTCCATGGTGTATATGTGCCACATTTTCCTTGTCCAGCCTATCATGGATGGGCATTTTGGTTGGTTCTAGGTTTTTGCTACTGTAAACAGTGCCAAAATGAGCATACGTGTGCATGTGACTTTATAAAAGAACAATTTATAATCCTTTGGGTGTATACCCAGTAATGGGATTGCTGGGTCAAATGGAATTTCTCTTTCTAGATCCTTGAGGAGTTGACACACTGTCTTCCACAATGGTTGAGCTAGTTTACACTCCCACCAACAGAGTAAAAGTGTTCCTTTTTCTCCACATCCTCTCCAGCATCTGTTGTCTCCAGGTTTTTAAATTATAGCCATTCTAACTGGCGTGAGATGGTATCTCAATGTGGTTTTGATTTGCATTTCTCTAATGACAAGTGATGAGCATTTTTTCATATGTTTATTGGACTCATATATGTCTTCTTTTAAAAAGTGTCTGTTCATATCCTTCATCCACTTTTGAATGGGTTTGTTTTTTTCTTGTAAATCTGCTTTAGTTCTTTGTAGATTCTGGGTATCAGCCCTTTGTCAGATGGGTAGATTGCAAAATTTTTTTCCCATTCTGTTGGTTGCTGGTTCACTCTAATGATAGTTTCTTTTGCTGTGCTGAAGCTCTGGAGTTTAATTAGATCCCATCTGTCTATTTTGGCATTTTTTGCCATTGCTTTTGGTTTTTAGTCCATGTCATCAGAGACTAGGATTGCAACCCATGCTTTCTTTGCTCTCCATTTGCTTGGTAAATCTTCTTCCATCCCTTTATTTTGAGTCTATTTGTTTCTTTGCACGTGATATATGTCTGCTGAATACTGCACACTGATGGGTCTTGACTTTTTATCCAAATTTGTCAGACTGTGTTTTTTGAGTGGGGCATTTAGCCTGTTTACATTTGTTTTTATTTTTATTTTTTATTGTATTTGGGCTCTGGGGTACATGTGCACATCCTGCATCCTGCAGGATTGTTTCATAGGATTGTTTTATTCTGCTGTACAACTCCTTTTGTGAAGTTTTACTCACTTGCAACAAGGAAGGGAGCTGTTCTGCTTCCCTGATGATGGAGGGCAGGTAACACCTCTCTGGAGTTTCAGCACACTTCCAAAAGGGAAGGCAAGTTTGAAATTCTTTCTGTTTCTAAGACGGTAGAGCCATAAGCCTGGGGCCCATTTCCTAGGTAAGTAGCTGAACTGGGGTTTTATCATGAAAATTTTTATTAATGATTAAAGGCTAAGATTGACATACACCTGTTTTTAATTTCTCTTTATTATGGAGTGCTCAGTCATAACATTGTTTTTTGTTGTTAGTTTGGTCTTTCTTTCATTGGATTTGACCAATTCTACCTGATTTGGTCAAATCCAAATGGGAATTCCAAATTATGGGGAACAAAGTCTCTGAATTGGCTAAAATTCCTCACTGCTGCAAAACAAGAAAAACATACATTTGCTTGGTTTCTCTGTATACTTTCTTTCTTAAAAATTGTTCTCTAATTTATGCTATTTTCACCCTGTTTCCTCTTCTGCTTTTGTGATCTTTGGTACCAAGAAAAAAATACAGAGACTGCATCTAATAAATCAGGCCTCTTAAAGAACTCAGAATAAAGGTGCCACCCACTCATTTTGGGGGGCTGTTGTGCTTCATTTGAAGTTTCAGGAGTCATGCTAGAGTCTTTTCAGGTCTATAGCTCTGCTTTCTTGTATTGCATTACCTGACCTCTTTGGCTTATACTTTGAGAGGATTTGACCTCAGTGTGTATCATGGTAAATGAGAGCTACAATGTTAGAGTTGGCTGAGGACACTTTACAGAAAATAAAAATTGCTATTGGAGGCCACCAAATTCTTTGTATGAAGTTATTATTTGTATTAAATGGCTTTTTCCATTATTTTACATTTATGCTATTTATTTACTTAGATCCAAAGCAAGTCTTTTCTAAAAACATAGATGTGAATACTATGTTTTCTTAATCTTTTCTGCTAATATACATCATTTGATTGTGATATTTTACTTTATTTACATTTAGAGTAATTACTGTTAAAAATAGAAATTACTATTGCCATTTTGTTCTTTGTTATCTATAAGTTTTATGACAATTTTTTGTCTTTCGTTCTTTTCCTTCCACTTTCCATTGTGTTTACTTAATTTTTGTTTGTGACATTGTTTAATTCTCTTCTTAATTTCTTAGGTAAATCTTCAATAGACAAATTATTTTATGTTTACCATAAAAATTACATTTAACATTTTAAAGTTAGAAAAATTAGTTTTAAACGATACCAACTTAACTTCAATCACATGCAAAATTCTACTCATTTATAGCTCTGCCTACCCAGGTTGTGTCATGGAGGTCACAAATTACATCTTTATATATTGTGTGTACATTTTAACATAGATTTAAATTGTTTTCATTCTTTTGCCCTTTAGATACTATAAATTAATAAAAAATAACTTAACCAAAGTTTTAATAATACTGATTACATGTTTGTCAAAATATTTGCTTTTACCAAAAAACTTTATATTTTTATAGGTTTTCAATTTATTCTGTAGCATTATATTATTTCAGCGTAAAAGATTCCCTCATTATTTATTAAGGGCATATTGTGCAGTAACTAATTTCATCAGCTTTTTATTTTCTGGGAATATCTTAATTATTTCCACATTTTTGAAGGATAGTTGTGCAGGATATAGAATTTTTATTTTAGAGGGTTCTTTACATTAATTTTAATTTTGTGTGGGTTAGTACTAGATATATATATTTATGAGGTACATGAGAAACTTCGATATAGGCATATGTGAAATTATTACATAATGGAGAATGAGGTATCCATCCCCTAGAGCATTTATCTTTTGTGTTACAAAAGATCCAATAACAAGACTCTTCTAGTTATTTTTAAATGTACAATTAAGTTATTATTAACTATAGTCACCTTATTATGTTATTAAACAGTAGGACTTACTCATTCATTTTAACTATTTGTTGTACTCATTAATCATCCTCATGCCCCCTACAACCAGCTTTGCCCTACCCTTTCTAGCTTCTTGTAACCATCCGTCTATTCTCTATGTCCATGAGTTCAATAGTTTTGATTATTTTAATATCCCACAAATAAGTAAGAACATGCAATATTTGTCTTTCTATGCCTGATTTATTTCACTTAACATAAAAGTTTCCAGTTCTATTCATCTTGTTGCAAATAACTGGATCTCATTATTCTTTATGGCTAGCTCATACTGAATTGTGTATATGTATCATATTTCTTTATCCATTCATCTGTTGGTGGACAATTAGGTTGCCTCTAAATCTTGGCTATTTTGAATTGTGCAGCAACAAATATGGGAGTGCAGATATCTCTCTAATATACTGATTTCCTTTATTTTGGACATATACACAGAGGAGGGATTGCTGAATTATATGGTAACTCTCCTTTCTGTTTCTGAGGAAACTCCAAACTGTTTTTCTTATATTTGCACTTATTTATATTTCCATTCACTGTATAGAAAAGTGTCCTTTCTCCACATTCTCACCAGCATTTGTTATTGCCTGCCTTTTGTATATAATCCATTTTAACTGGGTGAGATGGATATCTTCTTGTAGTTTTGGTTTGGATTTCTCTGATAATCAATGATGTGGAGCACCTTTTTATGTGCCTATTTGGCATTTGCATGTCTTCTTTTGAGAAATGTCTATTCAAATCTGTTACTCATATTTTAAATAAAGTTGATAGAGGCAAGAGACAGCCAAATGCCTAGACAAATAGGAAAGAGTCCCCAACAAATCTCTGATCCCTCAAACAAGTCTACACCAGATACTTTGTTCACATAAGGGGACCTGCACAGAGTGCTTGTCTAGGCATGCTCCAAATGCACTGGGGTAAGGGGGTTGAGCCACCATGAATTCATACCTTATGCAGGGGAGGAGAACTGGCTTCTTCAACTTGTATGTTGTGGCCTGATATTCAATATTGTGTGGTGGAAACCTGCATGCAGGACTCCTCACTTTGTTGAGAGTTTTTCTTTCACTTAATAAATTCTGCCCTCCTTACGCATCAATGTGTCTGCATGCCTAATTTGTCCTGGTTGTGAGACAAGAACCTAGGTTTAGCTGAACTAAGGAGGAAAAAAATCCTGCAACATTTTAGTGGCCTTTGTGGGGACACATCAGGAGGGTGAGTAAAATGCAGGCCCAACAACTTCTTTCACTTTTATTTCTGGGCTTTCTTGTCCTCAGATTTTCTCTGAGGACAGGGGAAACTGCCCTCCCCCCATCACTCTCAAGGATCAGGAATGTTGGCCTCAGTCCAACCCATTTTTTTCTATGGCATCTTCCTTTTATTTATTTAATTTTTTTGAGATTATAATGGCAGCTATTTTTTTCTTTTACAATATTGGGCTGTTCCACCCCCACCTCAACAGCCACAGGTGCATGCACAAGATGAACAGGCAAATGACAGCTCTCTGCCCTCTCTCTTCCACCTCTGCTGGGGCTCATGGCCATGTCTGCAGCATGTGAATGTGTTGTCCAATGGCCGTGCAGGACAGGACTGAGTCAAAGCTGCTGCCCGGTCCCCAGTGCCATCTCAAAGGCCAGAGGCCCCAAATGGCCAGCTGAACAGCATTCCCCACCACAAGCCCACAGAGATTTGCCCTTCCCTGACCAAGGGGTCCAGCTTGGTGTGACAACAATTAAAAGTTTCTCTCCCTTTTGGAGGAACTATTTGCATAAGAATAAAAGGTTCTTCCCCCAAGCAAATTCCCTGTCCTACACTGAAGCTGTTTTGTTGGTGTTGTTGTTTTTATTTTCTCCACCCTGTTAGCGGTTAACATAGCCCTACACTAAAGCTGTTTTTTTTTTTTTTCCTATTCTCCTTTAGGTCAGGAGTTAAAATGGGTTGGTGCAAAGATAGTTTTGATTTTTGTCATTACTTAGAATGGCAGTTACTGTGATTGGTTTTGCACCAACCCAATAACAGAGCCTGTTGATTTTTGGGGGCTTTTCTATGCCAGAGGTTTTTCTTGAAAAGCGTTTTCTTAGGCCAGTACCCCCAGTTCATAAGGCACACTTTTATCTCCCTTGTTGGAGGAGGACCCAATTCACAGCTTCACCTGGGATTTAATGAGGTCATGCACCCCTTGAGACATACTTTTTTGTCCCGAACTTAATTCCAAGCTTTTCACTGAAGCTCTAGGAAAGAAAACGGGATCTGAGGGATCCAGAGCAGATGACAATGGAAGGTAAAAGGCACAACACAGGTAAGCACAACTAATTCCTGACAATTAAGCCAAGCCTCCCTTTTCATGGATAAAGGTCATGCTAGCATCCATGATAAAAATGAGTTATAGGAAACTTGAAGGCTACTGACAGCAGGGAGAAAGGCAGCATGTGGATATGAGTAGATAATTTTGCCCCCTAGTCCTGCTGTTAACATAGGTGAAAGCAACATTGGACCCATGGGTGGCACCCTGTCAAGGTAGCTGGGTCTCGGGGATGTAAGGATGGAAGAAAGAGAAGGGATCACTCAAAATAGAAGGGAGCTAGGGATGCCTTATTTACCTCTTTCTAGATAAACAGCTATTCATCTTTAGTCTGTACTCATTTCAAAAGCATCCTGAGTCCTGGGGCTCCTTTTAAAAATAAAAACATATTTTTCTCCTTTTTCCTCCTCTGTGCTCTCTTCAAAGATGGATAATTGTGTCCCTGTTCTACAGGAAATTCCACTCTGATCCATCCTCCAAACTGAGAAAAGTTAATTTTCCAAACCTCAAACTGGTTGGCTTAGAATTCAGCTCAGGGGAAGGGAACCCAGAAGCCTGACATGGCAGCAAAGTGGTAAAAGTTTTTTAGCAGTCATACTTTTGGTCTCCCTCTCTATGTGAAAAACAGTAAAAGGAATGGTAAGGATCACTGTTAATATCCTCTATAAAGTTTTAATTAGTGAAAAAGAATGTATGAGTTTGGTCTTAAGTTGTAGCCAACCTGGTGTGATTTGCATGTCTTGATTGAGGCTTGTTGGTTGCACCTGTGAGGTTACTTTTGAAAAAGTTCAAAAGCCAGAAATATTGCCCACTTGATATGGCTAAAGTTAGGTAATAAGGGATTTAAAGGGACTTTCTTAAAGAGCACTCAGCTTAATTAAAACTGGATATACAAGCAATAGAAATATTAAAAATACCAGTATGTTTTTTTTTTTTTTCTCTTCTTGGATCTTCTTTATCTGAAAAAAATTTTTTTTCTTAGTCAATCGAATTATTTTTCTCCATTTTGCCTTGCCACTCTTTATGCATGCATGAGAGGCCCTAAGATAATTTCTCATAGCATGGGACTTCTTGGGAAAAACAGAAAAGGCACTACTGATTCCATTTTGGGATAAATCTCTGTTGCTTATGAAACCCCAGAAAATAAAAATGAATAGATCCCTCTCAAAACCTGTTTTTATCTTCCAGTTAAACCTGTTGATTAGGCCATAGAAACTATAACTTTTCCTAGCCTTGTTCATAAAGGGCTCTCTACCCAGAGGCCAATAATCCGATTAGGAGATTGGTAAACAAAAATCTTATAACCACTGGATCTTCCTCTATCTGTTTAGATCAAATATTTTTTGAAAGTTAAAAGCTGTAATACCTATTAATTTACACAACTTCAACCTTAGAGAAATAAAAGCAGTCTTAAAGATTCTTGGTAAAATGTAAATGTTAAAATATAGATAGGTGGTCTAAATTGTGCAAATCAGATATAAGGTTTGCTAATTGTTTTAAGGTTGTAAACTGCTTCTCTGCCTTTTTAGAACTGTTTCACTTGCCTGTTTTACAACTCGATAAGGCCTGGGAACATATGGAATTAACCATGCCCTTAACTACGCTGGAAGTGTCAGACTGTATCATTGCCTAGTGCATAATTAAAACAACTTACCAGATTTTACATTGAAGTTAAAAATTGCAAAGAGTTACCATTATAACATGTAATTCAAAACACCAAAAATGGATTTACATGCAAGTTTTGTAAGAACAGTAAAATGTATTTTTAGCAATAGATTATAAGAAGGCATTAAAATGTAAATTTTTGCCTAGGGTTAAAGAATTGTCTTAATTAGATAAGATGAAGTTAAAGATTTAAACAAGTTGTGGAAGGTTTCTAAACATTTATCTTGCAAAAGAAATTCTACGTTTGAACATATTAACTACAATAAAAAGGGTATTATATGGTTTTTCCATAAATTGTGCGTTGAAACAAAAGCACAACAAGGTTCCCTATGGCACTAATCTGATCTTTAGCAGAATTTGTAAAGGGTTATAAAAGGTTTATAAGAATCTTACCTCATGGTCAAACTGGTTTGAATTGCAGAGAGTTGTCTAAAAAGTTGTATTAAAAAACTAAGGTTGACATTAATAGTAAACTAATGAAAGGGTAAAATTTGACTTTCTCTCCCTTGCACAAAATTTTCATGTAATAAGAAAGGATAATGAAAGCTGTTCATTTGCCTTCCAGATAGGCTCCCAAGAAAAAGGAAGAGAAGACAGTAGACAAATTGTTTAAAAAGCTAAGTCTATTTTCTTAAAGAGTAAAGGTTTTTTCCTTGTTTTAAAATTTTTAACTCATTATTTTGCCAAAGTAAATAATTTATGGTAATCTGAAACTCTACTTTAAACAGCAAGTGTTTTAATCCTCTAACATATCTAACAGGCTTCTTCCAAATTAAACCTCAGTTGCAAGGTTGTCTTTTCTAACCTCTAGCTCTGGAATGCTACAGAGGGCCTCTGGAGCATCTGGAAGAGGGATAAACAGGATTATTTGGAATGTTTAGGTACATGGAATTGACAAAATAATGTTTAATATTCTTCAGGTTGTATTTTAGTGAATAATAATAATATATGTTCTAAAATTGCATGGGACTTATAAAATTCTAATGTCTGAATATATGCTATTAATCACTGTTAAGGTTTTTATGTTAAGTATTGTAAACCAAAGGGATAACCAAATTTATTTGTCAACCCTGTTTTTGACTATAACTACCCTGCATATTTTGTTATTCACAGTCAATTGTTGTCTTGTTTTCATCTTCTTCAAAAGGTGGTTTAAAGTCAGCTATAGAACTTTGACAGGTGCTCTAAATTCAAGTTTCTGTTAACTTTGGTAATCATGACATTGAAATAAAGAAAAACACACAGGACCAATGAAGAGCTCAAATGTTCACAACTATCAAACAGAGCAGGAATTAACAGAATAAAATAAACTAACAAAATAAAATAAACTAACAGAAAACCGAAGTAATCATTTTTTAACATTTGCTTAAAACAGTGTTAATTCTTGTTTTGTACTTCAGAGTTAAGAAAACTTTTATTCTGAGCTATTTACATTCTTTAGTAATTGAGTAAGATATACTCCTATGAACAAAATTTGAAGCATGTTTGTTTCTCTATGCCTGGCTCCTCTAGAATTTGGAAGCTACATGAGTATTCTTAATTTATAGCAATATGGTTATTTGTATCAGTGCAATAAGAATAGATTTTCTTTGAAACAGATGCAACTGGAGTAACTGGTTGTTTTTCCAAGGCTTTGACTAGAAGTCTGTGCATCTCTTTAAGGAATCAAGATTGACATGCAGAGCCAATAAAAGCCCCTTTGGAAAATTGGCCTCATACCTTGTCTAAACAGCTGCAGCACAGATTTCCTAAACTGTGAGGAGTAAAGAATGTCACTTTCTAAGAAGCCCAGAAACCCCATGTTCTTGGGGCCTCAAGAAGAGGGAAGTTAACCCAACTCACAGGTATTTGAGGGTACTAAACCATGGGGGGGCTCAGCTTTAAAACTCCTGTCTGATATCCCTTGTAGAACAGAGTTCCATCAGAGTCAATTTAGAAAACTTAGGTAAAAATAATTATTCTTGCTGCACTTTATGCAAATAATCAGGTCAAGTATAAGACTAAAGTTTATTTCGGAAACAACTTATTCCTATCATGATTTGTTTTTAACAAAAATGGAGACAACAGAGAGAGAGAGAAATTATGCTTCTAAGCTTATAATGCATATGTCATTAAACTCAGTCATTTGTCAGTTTTTTGCCCACACTTTTTTTCAGACTTTTTTTTTTTTATATTATACTTTAAGTTCTGGGATACATGTGCAGAACATGCAGGCTTGTTACATAGGTATACATGTGCCATGGTGGTTTGCTGCACACTTCAACCCACCATCTTCATTAGACATTTCTCCTGTTATTCCTCCCCTTGGTCCCCACCCCTCAAACAGGCCCCAGTGTGTGATGTTCTCCTCCCTGTGCCCATATGTTCTCATTGTTCAACTCTCACTTATCAGTGAGAACATGTTGTGTTTGGTAGTCTGTTCCTGTGTTAGTTTGCTGAGAATGATGATTTCCAGCTTTATTCATGTCCCTGCAAGGGAAATGAACTCATTCTGTTTTACGGCTGCATAGTATTTACATGGTGTATGTGTGCCACATTTTCTTTATTCAGTCTAACATTGATGGGCATTTAGGTTGGTTCCAAGTCTTTGCTATTGTGAATAGTGCTGCAATAAACATGTGTGTGCACTTATAATAGAATGATGTATAATCCTTTGGGTATATATCCAGTAATGGGATTGCTGGGTCAAATGGTATTTCTAGTTCTAGATTTTTGAGGAATTGCCGCACTTTCTACCACAATGGATGAACTGATTTACATTCTCACTAACAGTGTAAAAGCATTCCTATTTCTCCACATCCTCCCCAGCATCTGTTGTTTCCTGACTTTTTAATGATTGTCATTCAAACTGGTGTGAGATGGTATTTTATTGCGGTATTGATTTGCATTTCTCTAATGACCAGTGATGATGAGCTTTTTGAAAATATGTTTGTTGGCCACATAAATGTCTTCTTTTGAGAAATGTCTGTTCATATTCTTTGCCCACATTCTGATGGGGTTGTTATTTGTTTGGAAATTTGTTTAAGTTCCTTGGAGATTCTGGATATTAGCCCTTTGTCAGATGGATAGATTGCAAAAATTTTCTCCCATTCTGTAGGTTGCCTGTTCATTCTGATAATAGTTTCTTTTGCTGTGCAGAAGCTCTTTAGTTTAATTAGATCCCCTTTGTTAATTTTGGCTTTTGCAACTGCTTTTGGTGTTTAGTCATGAAGCATTTGCCCATGGCTATGTACTGAAGAGTATTTCCTAGGTTTTCATCTAGGGTTTTTATGGTGCTGGATCTTACGTTTAAATCTTTTATCCATCTTGAGTTAATTTTTGAATAAGGTATAAGGAAGGGGTCCAGTTTCAGTTTTCTGCATATGGCTAGTCAGTTTTCCCAACACCATTTATTAAATAGGGAATCCTTTCTCCATTACTTGTTTTTGTCAGGTTTGTCAAAGACCAGATTGTTGTAGATGTGTGGTGTCATTCCTGAGACCTCTGATCTGTTCCATTGGTCTATATATCTGCTTTGGTATCAGTACCATGCCGTTTCATTACTATAGCTTTGTAGTCTACTTTGAAGTCAAGTAGTGTGAGCTTCCAGCTTTGTTCTTTTTGCTTAGGATTGTCTTGGCTATACGGGCCCATTTTTGGTTCTATATAAAATTTAAAGTAGTTTTTTCTAATTCTGTGAAGAAAGTCAATGGAAGCTTGATGGGAATAGCATTGAATCTATAAACTACTTTGGGAAGTATGGCCATTTTGGTGGTATTGATTCTTCCTATCCATGAGCATGGAATATTTTTCTATTTGTTTGTGTCCTCCTTTATTTCCTTGAGCAGTGGATTGTAGTTCTCCTTGAAGAGGTCCATATCACTTGTAAGTTGTATTCCTTGGTATTTTATTCTCTTTACTTTTGTGAATGGGAGTTCGCTCATGATTTGGCTGTTTGTCTATTACTGGTGTATACTAATGCTTGTGATTCTTGCTCATTGATTTTGTATCCTGAAGTTTTGCTCAAATTGCTTATCAGCTTAAGGAGTTTTTGGGTTGGGATGATAGGTTTTTCTAAATATACAATCATGTCATCTGTAAACAGAGATAATTTGACTTCCTCTCTTCCTATTTGAGTACACTTTCTTTCTCTTTCCTAATTGCCCTGGCCAGAACTTCCAATGCTATGTTGAATAGAAGTGGCGAGAGAGGGCACACTTGTCTTGCAATGGTTTTCAAAGGGAATGCTTCTAACTTTTGCCCATTCAGTATGATATTGGCTGTGGGTTTGTCATAAATACCTCATTATTTTGATATATGTTCCATCAACACCTAGCTTATTTAATGTTTTTAATATAAAGTCTTGTTGAATTTTATCAGATTTTTATGCATCTATTGAAATAATCATGTGTGTTTGTCATTTGTTCTGTTAGGCGATGGGTTAATTTTATGGATTTTCATATGTTGAACCAGCCTTGCAACCCAGGGATGAGCTGACTTGACTGTGGTGAATAAGCTTTTTGATGTGCTGCTGGATTCAGTTTGCCATTATTTTATTGAGGATTTTCACATTGATGTTCATCAGGGATATTGACCTGAAATTTTCTTTTTGTTGTGTCTCTGACGGGTTTTGGTATCAGGATGATGCTGACCTGATGAAATGAGTTAGGAAAGAGTCTTTCTTTTTCAATTTTTTGGGATAGTTTCAGAAGGAATGCTACTAGCTCCTCTTTGTACCTCTCATGGAATTCAGATTTGAATCTCTCTGATTCTGGGATTGTTTTGGTTTCTAGGCTATTAATTACTGTCTCACTTTCAGAACTTGTTGTTGGTTTATTCAGAGATTTTACTTCTTCCTAGTTTAGTCTTTGGAGGGTTTATGTGTCCTTCTAGTTTAGTTATGTGGAGGTGTTCATAGTATTCTCTGGTGGTAGTTTGCATTTCTTTGGGATCAGTGGTGATCTCCCCTTTATCATTTTTTATTATGTCTACTTCATCCTTCTTTCTTTTCTTCTTTATTATTCTTCTAGTAGCCTATCTATTTTGTTAGTCTTTTCAAAAATATACAGTTTCTGGATTCATTGAATTTTTTGAAGGTTTTTTTTTTTGGCTATATATCCTTCATTTCTGCTTTGATCTTGGTTCTTTCTTATTTTCTGCTAGCTTTTGAGTTTGTTTGCTCTTGCTTTTCCAGTTCTTTTCATTGTGATGTTAGAGTCTGGATTTTAGATCTTTTCTGATTTCTCTTGTGGGCATTTAGTGCTACAAATTTCCCTCTCACCACTTTTTCAGCTGTGTCTCAGAGATTCTGGTGTGTTTGTCTTTGTTCTCATTGGTTTCAAAGAACTTATTTATTTCTTTCTTAATTTCATAATTTACCCAATTGTCATTCAGGAGCAGTTTGCTCACTTTCCATGCAGTTGTGCAGTTTTGAGTGAGTTTCTCAATGCTGAGTTTTAATTTGATTGCACTGTGATCTGAGAAATTTTTTTTATGATTTCTGCTATTTTGCATTTGCTGAAGAGCATTTTACTTCCAATTATGTGGCCAATTTTAGAACAGGTACTATGTGGTGCTACAAAGAATGCATATTCTGTTAATTTGGGATAGAGAGTTCTGTTGATGTATATTGGTCCAGAGCTGAGCTCAAGTCCTGAATATCCTTGTTAATTTTCTGTCTTGTTGATCTAATATTGACAGTGAAGTCTTAAAGTCTCCCACTGTTATTGTATAGGAGTATAAGTCTCTTTGTAGGTCTCTAAGAATTTGCTTTATAAAGCTGGGTGCTCCTGTATTGGGTGCATATATATTTAGGATGGTTAGCTCTTCTTATTGCATTGATCCCTTTACCATTATGTAATGCCTTTGTCTTCTTTGTCTTTTTTGATCCTTGTTGGTTTAAAGTCTGTTTTATCAGAGACTAGGATTGCATCCTGCATCTTTTTTTTTTTTCTTTCTCTTTCCATTGGCTTAGTAAATCTTCCTCCATCACTTTATTTTGAGCCTATGTATGTCTTCGCAAGTGAGATGTGTCTCCTGAATACAGCACACTGATGGGTCTTGACTCTTTATCCAACTTGCCAGTGTATGCCTCTTAATTGGGGCATTTAGCCCATTTACATTTAAAGTTAAATTGGTATGTGTGAATTTGTTGCTATCATTATGATGCTATGTGTTAGCTGATGAATGGTCTCTACATTTTGCTTTCTTTTTGCATTGGCAGGTACGGGTTTTTTCTTTACATATTAATACTTCCTCCAGGAGCTCTTGTAAGGCAGGCCTGGTGGTGACAAAAACCCCCAGCAGTTGTTGTTTTAAAAGGATTTTATTTCTCTTTCACTTATGAAACTTAGTTTGGCTGGATATAAAATTCTGGGTTGAAAATTGTTTTCTTATTTTCTTTTTTTTAAGGTAAGATGTTTTTATTTGAAAATCTCAATATCTTGTTTATAACAGTAGGGACAAGGCATACATGCTGGTCATGAAAGCACCCTTGGACCTGGTTTGGTTCTGAGAAGCAGCAGAGGAAAACCTTAGTGAGAAAATATATTGACAAGCCACATTATAGGAAGCAGTCTGTCTCTATGGCAGAACCAGGGGAAAAACACATTGTGAAAATTTTCTGCCTGCTTACTTTGGCTGAGGAGGTGTGAAGGCTAAAAAAAGTACACAAAATCAAGGTCATTAAAAAATGTTCCACTAACCAGTAATTGGCCCTTGTTCTTCTATCACATGAACCTCTTGCATGTAGTGGCATAGGGAAAACTCAGCTGTTTCAGTGATGAGTAATCAAAAAGGAATACACACAGTATTCATACTAAGATGCTACACAAAGAAAGGGAAAACAGAACAGGAAGAAACAAAAGGTTGATAGAGCACACTTTTAGAAAAAAGGTTTTCATAAAGCAACTTAAAATTATAATCAAACATTTTAGCACTAATCTTAAACATAGAATGAATGAATCTTCTCTTTGAGGAAGAACCACAAAGCAGAAATATAAGAGCTTATGGAACATGCAGCCAACAAGCATAGAAAAAAAATACTCAATTACTAATTGTTGGAGAAATGCGT